AAAAAAAAAAAAACAAATTAAGCTGAGTAGCCTTGGAAAACGTAAGTTAGAAAAATAGCCTATGTCTTTTCAGAGACCTATGCCTGTTGTACAAAGAGCCTGGTATTTTAAAATGTTTAGGTGCAATAAACAAGTTGAACACAGCTTTCATCAAATTTCAGCTGCTCTGGGAAATCTCTAATACTTTCCCCCCACCAGGGAAGCAGAAGGGATCCGTCCTCAGGTGCCGGGGCTCCCTATGATTATGGCATCATTACAAGGTGTAGGTGATGGTGGTCAAGGTGCACCTATTTCCTTCTTCGCCTCTTAGTGCTGAGAACTTAACTTTCCTATTGAATAAAATCCTAGGAGAATTCAAGAGAAGGAAAGCATGAAAACCCACAAGCAAAAGAGTGTAATGAAATACAGACCAAGCAGACCAAAACAAGTTCATATATATCAGTAATTCTCCAGCTCTAGACAATACTTACCAAAGTCTTATAGGAGTACCCTACCTCACTTTAGATCAAAGAATTGAAGAAACAAAAGGGCCAATGTGTAATTCTTTAGAATTCCCTTAAGGTGAGATATACGAACATGGAAAAGTCTTATTTTAGATTCCACGTATCTGACTTTGAATCTTCTTCGCCATCGTCATAAACCAGCTGCGATTTTTAGCTGAAGAAAGTTACCTAGTGAGGAAACATTTGTGAACTAGTAGTTCAACAAGATGCATGGTTTCAGGCTCAAACCAAATAGTGATTGTCAATGAAGTTAAGTAACATTCATTATACATTGTTGAGTGAAAGGTCACTAACCTTAAGCTTAAAAGAGGTACAACCTGGGGACTTTCAAACTGTTTGGGAAATATGTATGAATAAGGCCTCCAACTGATTTAGGTTTGGATTCCATATAATGACTCAAGCACATATTCTCTCAACTCATGGTATGGATTTCTGATTTGGTTTTCCAAGAACAAAAGAAATGAAAATGTAGAGCCATCATCCTTAGAAATTCAAGAGCTGAATCTGCTTCCAAAACATAAGGACGTCGAATATATTTTTCTTTGTGAAGCAATATGAAGAATTGTTATAGAACATGAACTCTACTGACTAACCTGGTAACAGTGTCACTTTGAGCAAGTTCCCTAATCTCTCTACGGCAGTTTAGGTGAGTAAGCTATAGGAATAAAGCTCTTAACTCAGTGCCTATCCCATTAGAAGTACTCAATAAACGTTCCCTTTATGGTTGTTGTTGTTCAGGGTTAGGGTGTATGATTGCCTTTATATCAAGAGATTTTTTTTTCCCACGAGAAACCTGTTGTGAACAGTGTGAACTTTTTGTTAAAGCGGAATTACTATGATTTACAAGGGGGGAAATTCATTTTATTTGGATCACATTTTCTAAGCTCAGGGTTGTTATTAGGGGATTTGATATGTCAAAATAGAGAACTGAACTCCCTGTGAAAGAGTTCCTACCTACACACAGAGCAAAGGACGTGACACAACACTTGATTCTGTCTGGTCATGGCGAGGTATCATGTCCTAAAAATGTTTTTAGGCTACTTTCTGAAGGACATTTTCATAACTCTGCTAAAAATGATACAAAAGCTCAACATACTGAAATAAAATTCACTTTCTTACTTTTTTATTTGAAAAACAGAGTTAACAGTTTCGGAATTCATAATGGAAGCCATGTCCAAATGAAAATACTTGTTGGGTTTGAAGCTGCCACATTTGTCCAGATACCTGAATAGTCCCTCAGTCATAAAGAAAGTAAATAATTTAGGACAGCCCGATTCTTGATTTCTGGGAAAATGGTATCGTACTGGTGGGCAGCGATGTCTTCTTAATTCAGCTGCCCCCTCTGAGGTTATTGAAGAGCAATGATCTAACTTTTTGATAATTTGGGATCACAAGGCAGAAACACCAAGCTAAGAATCCCGAGCATTCACATGTTGTCTTCGTTGGCATAATCTGATGTTTTCAGGAATATATTTTGTGTTGTGTTTTTATTTACATTGGCTTCAAGAAAACAGTTATTCATCCACCAAGCATGTACATGCACATTCTGTGGCACACGCTGCCCTTGAGGTGAAACACACAGTAGAAAGTAGAGATTTAGTACCTGCTGTCATGGGTCCTACACACCAGTGGGAGAGACAGAAAACATGCATGGAAAGAACCCTTTGGCAAAAGATCATTACGGCGTGTTATGAGAGAAAGATAAAGAGAGTAATGTGGCGGAGAGCAACTGGTTGGGCGAAGTGGTTACTTAAGATATAATGTGGGCATTTGGATGAGACCTAGGGGAAGACGGAGCCAACCATGTGAAGAATTGAAGGGGAAGATGTGCATTTGCATTTCAAGCAGCACTGGTGTTCTAGCTAGTCTTAAAAAAAATCCTCCCACAGACCACCTTGAAGTCCTAGATTAAATATGATAAATATCCTTTTGAATACAGGGCTGACCTTAACAGTGTTACCAGTAATGATGACAATCTCAGAGGCAGAAAATGAAAGGATTTGGAAACAAAAGTCATAGACTAAAGTTAGGTCTGTGCTTGCTCTTACTAGTCTCCCTAATCTACAAGTTCATTTCCTAAAAGCTAGAGGAAACCCGGAAATAGTACTGTGGGTCCATGCATGATGAAGACTTAGAAATGACACCAACCTCCATATCCTGAAGGATTATGTCCTCAGAAAAAAAAGTACAAACAGGAAAAAAGTTCCCTCACCAGAAAAGGAGTTAAGAAGAAGATGTATCTTTTAGGGTTAGGGCTCTAGGTAGAAAGGGGAAAAATCCCCTAAGAATGTATAACCACAGCTTCCCTAAT